TAACTGATGCATCAGTGTTTAATCAGTGGTTTGATGTTTTCAAGAAGGAACTAATAACCAAACAATATATTATCTGCCAGTTTAATCTATAGCAGTGTCATCATTTCTATTATTTTTACATATGAAGCCTTAATCCCTGTAGCTCTGAAATAAATGGAATAGCATCAGAAGTACAGCGTTCCTGTCTGTCATGTAATGGAGCAGAAATCTAAAAGAAGTGGGATTAAGCTGAGTAAAGGATACGTCACTACTTGAGTAAATGTGTTTTGTAGTTGTGTTCCACGTCTGGTTCTTTGTAAATGTGATGCTAGCTGAGCTAAGAACAGTCTAACGTGCAGTTATTGTGTTCTGAAGATAATTTATTATAAATTCCACTCGAGAAGCTCTCTTTTGTTCTTAGAGGTAGTTCATGGTGGAGTCTGCAGCCGGCCTCTGTTCAGCTTCTCTCCCGACTGTACGACTCAACCCCAGAGCAGAATGTTTTCACCCTCATGCTGAACAGTTGGCGTCGTGTTCTTTAAATCCACCGCTGCCGGTTCTTCACCTCAAACATATGTTTGGTGGCAAAGCGCCTCTCCACAGCACTCTGACTGGCTCTGCACACTTCAGTCTCTGACTTTTGTGCTGATGTGGCAGGTGAGGCTTCCCTCTGAAGACTCTTTGATGCAGACCCAGTGTGTGAATCCTCTCTGCTGCGTCAGGTAAACCTTCCTGCAGCTCCTCTGCAGTCACATGAGGCCTTTGCTTTGTCTCTCTGCCCAGAAGATGTGCAGTTTTATGTGTCTTGACTTTCACAGTTCTCCTTTACTGCCGTGTCTCTGATATTTCATACAGCGGAACTTAAAATTTGGAAGTGCTTTGGTATCTTTTTAAAGCTTCCTTCTGCTTTCCAGGCTAATAATTAGTTTCATTTTCAGATCCTCAGTCGGTTGCTAAGAGAAGACTGTTGGGTATGAACACAAGCGAGGGCACAGAGTTGGTTTGGACACTGAGGGGACACATTAAGCAGGCGTCTGGTCGTCCTACACCAGGAACTGTTGAGCTTCACACACAATTTCTTGCATTTCAGTGAACTTTCTTAGCCAATTAGTACCTTTTCTGCAACAATTAATGGAGAATTTTCTTTAAAAGAAAGCAAAATGTAGGCACAAGTTATTAAAAATAAAAAGCATTTTCTAGTTTTATGTTTAAATTGGGGGGAAAGTGGCTTCATTAAGTGCACGACACTTCAAATTCCAGCTGGAACAACTTCATATTTATGAGTAATCAACTTAGAAACTTGTGTTCATGCAGCCAGTCATTCATTTAAAAAGCCAAGTTCCCAACTCAGTCTAGTTTGTTGGTAGAACATGATTATAAGTTATGAAAGTGAAAATGTTGAACTGCATGTTGCTTTATTTATTTTACTTTTTTTTTAGCCCAAACATCTTTGACAGAAAAATCTGGAGAAAAATCTAGTTCATGAGCACCAGGTTTATTGGGTAGAAATTCAATTCAAATAACTTTATTTAACCCCCCATAGGGGCAATTCAAAAGAGTATTTAATACAAAGACATAAAAAAACAGTAAACCACATCATAAATATCACATTATAGTACATGGGATGGGTTTTGGAGAAAGGACATGTAAGGGAAAAAAAAAAACTGCTAACTGCATTTATATACAGTCGTCCTCAAATGTATTCATAGCCTTCCATTAAAGAAAAGGCAAAACTCACAATAGTCACTGAAATAACTAGACACTGAAGAAAGTAATAATAAATAAAAATTTTCTAAATTATTATTTAGTGAAATATTGATTTTGAATTGTGGTTGAAGAGAATAATTAAAAAAAAAAAAAAGAACTGTCCTGGACAAATTAGAGCACTTTGCTGATGAGCAGTGGGGTTTTTTTTATTTAATTATTATTTTTTTTAACATTTCTGTTAAACCACAATTCAAAAGCAACGTCATGATTTTCCCCAAAATTTTTATTTATTATTACTTTTGTCAATTTCAACTTATTCCAGCTGTTTTGTTTTTTTTGTTCCTTCTTTAGTGGGAGGCTATGAATACATCTGACTGTCCATATAGTGAATATGTAAGTTTGGCACTCAGCTGATTATTTTTTAAGTTAAACCTGACTACTTCAGCCACTCTAAGGTCCACTACTACAACAATAACAGAAGTTATATTTGGGAGGGCTGACCTATTAATAATTCACCCCCAGCAGCTTCCCTTAAGGACTTTACCACCAGCACAAGTTGACATAATGATAGTCTGCTGTTGCACAACAGTCCACTCATAGTGCGTCCCAGAGGAGCTCCGCTGAGGGACACATGAGGCTGCTGCCGCCGCCCGGAGAGCCACGATCCCGCAGGAAACGCTGGAATATCAGCAGAGAGCAGCGGAGGAGGGAGGCCGGGGGCAGGAGGGCTGAGGACGGCCGAGGACGGAGGAGTCAGCTGAGGAGAAAGTTCACGGTTTGGCTGCCAGACGCGCTCTCGTGCTGAATGAAAGCAGCAGCATGGCGAGCAAAGGACGGAGCCCGCTGCAGGACTCCTCGGAGTCGGACACCGATCCGGAGGGGGAGCCGTGCCGGGCCGCTCCGTCCTGCGCCCCTCCGCCCCGCAGCCAGGTCATCCACAGCGGACACTTCATGGTGTCCTCCCCGCACAGCGACTCGGCGCCGCGCAGGAGGAAGAGCGGCGGCTCGCTGAGATACGACTTCGACACGGTGAACCGGACGTGGTGCCAGACGTACCGGTACGGGCCGCTCAGCTCCGGCAGCCTGAGCATAGACCCCACTCTGACCCGCCTGTTCGAGTGCATGTCGCTGGCCTACAGGTGGGTGCTGCTGTGCGCGCTGCAGCTCGTTCATGCCACCCACAGTGTCCAGCTGTGGTTTCAGTTACAGATGACATGCATTTAAACCAGAATGATGCACTTTGAAGTTAAACAAAAGTTTTAAAAGTACATCTCACGGGATGACTTTGCTCCTCCTTACTACACATGTTGATCCTGCTTAAAGAATTGTGCGCTAGATGATCGGTGTGGCAGCAGATTTCCCTTTCAGCTCCCATGATTGGGCTTGTGTCAGTGTGTTTGGTCAGTCTGTTGCACAACCGCCTGGAGAGTCTTCACTAAAAAACTGGACTTTGATTCTAGTTGGCAGGACTGGAAAGATTACAGTGTAACTGAGGGAAAGGAGAGCAAGTCCTCAGATGATGCCCCAGACATGTTTTCAAAGCCAGCCTCTTGTTTATTAGGAGTTATTAGATCCAGCTATTGCCAAGAGGGGAAGATATTACACCAAGAGCTGCACTTTGAATCATTCCCTGCCACGTCAGGGTTACTAAATTTGAGCAAGTTTGTCTCCTTTATTTTAAGGTTTCTGATTAAAATGATGAGAGACGTGTGCTTGAGGGAAATATAAGCTGTTTATAAGCTTTGTCATCAACCTTTGGCCCAAATATGACGCTGCTGTGGGCCAATTTAGTTTTTTTATAGGGATGGTTGCTGGTAAAACCAACCACACATCATGTTATTTATTCATCTAAGTGCTCTGCATGTGATGTATTATGTGCAGGGTGTTTGTCATTAACCAAACTGGTGTTAATTGATCCTTCCCCCTAATGTTTTCCTTCCTCTAATTTGCTGTCTCTGCTGTTTGGGAGCGAGTCACATGCAGCCGTGTCACTCCCTTAAAAGCATGTCGAAAATGATTCTCCCGGCTTCCTAGCAACTCCCCGAGCACTTCGCATTAGGAGCCGTCTTCTCAGCACTCAGCAGGCAGAGGGATGCTGGAAAAAAAAAAAAGAGCAAACAGCCTGGCGGTGTAGCAGGGGGGGACCAGGCTGATCTATTAGTCAAAATCAGGACAGGTTTCAGCCGGGGTGAGGCAGGGATGGAAACTACTCATTTTTACCTCATTGTTCTTCTAAAGAGTCCTTTCTGCAGGTCCTCCATAGTCCACAAAGAGTATAAGACTTTGATCCAGGGCTGGAAATAGAAGAATATTGTGATATGAGACACACATTTTAGTGGAAATATTCTTTTTTCACGTTTCTTTTCCACTGAACAAATGATGCGGTGTGAACCAAACCTTCCCTCATGTTCTGAGCATATGATTTATAGGCCAGTGCATCTGGTTTCTCATTAAAAAAAAGGCAGCTCCTGAGATTTGGATGTTGCCGTTTTTGTAATTGTTCAACCCTACTTTGCCCCCTTAACAAGCATTTTCTGTCTTTTCTTGCAGCGGTAGGATAGTGTCTCCCAAATGGAAATCTTTTAAGGGTCTGCGGTTGCTGTGGAGGGATAAGATCCGCCTGAATAATGCGATCTGGAGAGCTTGGTTCATTCAGTGTGAGTGCAGCGCTCTTCACCTCCTCTCACTGCTGCTGCTGCTGCTGATGTCTGTGTTCATTAATTTCTTAGTTGTTTGGTGTGTAAAATATATCAGAAAAAAGGGTGAAAAAAGCCCAAGATGACATCCTCACAGTCCAAAGATATTCAGTTTACTGTCGCAGAAGAAACAAAACAGAAAAAAATATTTAAATTTAGGTTTGCTGCTGATATCAAATAATAAAACTACTTGATAACTGATTTAACGGTTGGTAACTAAACTGTAGCTCCACATCATCTTTTACCTGCGAGTGGCCGAACACAAACAAGCAGCTGAAAGAATCCACGTATCCCTCCTGCATGCATTAAAGCAGCAGGAAGATGTACACAGCAGCTGCAAATGTGCTGATTCTGTTGCTCTCGTGCTCAGATGTGGAGAAGAGGAAGAACCCGGTGTGCGGCTTTGTGTCTCCGCTGGAAGGCTCAGAGGCAGATGCACATCGAAAGCCTGAAGTGAGTGACTTAATGAAGTGCAGGCTGGTGTATCGCTCACCTGAAAACAGTCCCGTTTGATTTATTTCGGATTGCGTGCTGATGAAGCTGGATCTGTGTGTGAGTTCCTCTGCGCTGAAAGTCCTAAACTTGATGTTTGCTCTGATGTCTTGTCAACAGGCGATTATACTGGAGGGCAGCTACTGGAAGCGGAGGATCGAGGTGGTGATCAAGGAGTATCACAAGTGGAGGATTTACTATAAGAAGAGGGTGGGCACTTGTCTTTTACATGCTATTTATTCTGTGTCTGTCTGAAAAAGCTCAGTAACTGTTGAATTCATAGCTCATTCAGACATTCAGTGTCCCCAGAGGATGAACTTTGGTGATGTAGCGCCGCCACCATGAGGGTGATATGTGTGGTTTT